TTTTTTTTTTTTTTTTTAATTTAAACCACAAAAAAACTTTGTATTCATATCGTTACAATGCTTTAGTTGTATTATATACTGATTATATTTGAACAGCAGTTTTGCGGTAACCGGGATAAATAAAGTGTTAATTTTGCAGTGATCATAGTCCATTCAAATGTGCCGGGTGTAATACTGGAATATCGCCAACTAATTTTGTTTACAAACTTAAGGTTACAGTTAAATTTGTTCAATGAGAAACGCTTTAATACCAATACCAACAACAGTTTGATATTATACCTTCTGTAATAAAATTTTTACATGTTTATTGCGCTGATGAACTAGCAGAAAACATTTTGATAGCAGAATAATTAAAAAATGAAAAAGAAATCTGAAAAGAAGAAAAAATTTTAGCATGAGTGAACTTTTGCCAGTTAAATGCTACTTTTTCTTCTCGTTATTGTCGTTGTTATCGGTTTTTTTCTGCTGTTTCTTTCTTTTCCTCCATTTTCTGTGAAATTGAGACTGCATAGGTTAATGGGTATCCCAACTTTTCATCCCAATATTTGAAGAAAAACTATTCTAGAAAACAAACGTTCTGTTGGTTAACACATACTGCGCCTTTCTGATATGTTGACAACAGCATAAATTTGCAATGCTTAAGTTTTTTACAATCTAAAATTTAGCTTATTTTGGCAGCTTTAGATTGTTGTCGTTTACTTTTTTTTTTCTTCAGACAAACTTGATATACCATTTGGTATGTCACATTTGTTGTCTTTGCGGAAAACAACTGCTACCCGGCGAACAAATAACCATCGATCAGGACAACAAAACTGTCGCATGCTTTGCCCATTTAAGTCGTAATGTTAATCAATTGATCACTTATAAATTTTCCAAATTTTTTAATGTATTATTTGTTGGCTCTAACAATTTCAATAATCTTGACAGCTAGTTTAAAATTTTAGCCGACATTTATAGTTGAAAACAGTCATAAAAAATGGCTTTACATTTAAACAAAACCTAATACAGAAAAAAAAAATTC